GGATTCAAAATAATGCCTGAGCTTTTATTTTCGCATGCACTAGCGAGAGTATCACTCGCTCGACCTTTGAATAACGTCGTTTGGCCTCAGTCATCGTTTTGCTAACATAGAACACTGGATATTGCTTCCCTTCTAGACAACGGATCAGAACGCCACTTGTCGCGATGCTGGATACCCCGAGGTATAGAAATAATTTTTCTCCTGGTTCTGGAGCTGACAGGATCGGAAGGTTCTGCATATATTCCTTCAAACTTGTTAATGCTTTGCGCTGTTCATCCCCCTAAACTTGTCTGCCATGGCTTCGTATTGTGTCAAAAAATGGTTTGCAATGGTCTGACAGTTTTGAAATGAATCGGCTCAATGTTGCGATCTGTCCCGTAAGTGTTTGCACTTCCTTGACTGTTGTCGGCTCGGCATTCTTAGTCAGAGCTTCTGCTTGGGCTGGGCTAGCTTCTATGCCTCTATGATTAACCACGTGTCCCAGGAATTGACCAGAACTCACGCCGAATGAGTATTTGGTTGGATTGAGCTTCATTCTATTGTGCCTCAACACATCAAATACGTCCTGTAGATGTTTCAGATGATCAGCTTTCTTCTTACTTTTTACTACCATGCCATCAATGTAAGCTTCCACGGTCTTCCTTATTTGTCTCTTGAAAATTTTGCTAATAAGCCTTTGGTAAGTTGCTCCGGCATTTTTCAGTCCGAATGGCATGACTTTGTAGCAATAGGTCCTGCGATCGGTAACGAAAGAAGTTTTCTCTTCATCAGTAGGGTCCATGAGGATCTGATTATAACCGGAATAAGTATCTAAGAAGGTTAAATGCTCATATCCAGTAGTAGTATCCACCATTTGATCAATTTTCGGCAACGGAAAGCTATCATTGGGACAGGCTTTGTTTAAATTGGTGAAATCGATACACACCCGCCATTTCCCATTCTTCTTCTGCACAACAACAACATTTGACAACCAGTCAGGATAACATACTTCTCTTATAAATCTCGCGTTAAGTAGCCTATCAACCTCCTCGGCTATGATCTGGTTACGCTCTGGAGCAAACCTTCGCTGCTTCTGCTTTACAGGTCTTGCATTGAAATTTACGTTCAAGGAGTGACAGGATACGGAATGATCGATTCCAGGCATGTCTAGGTGGCTCCACGCAAATACATCGGCGTTCTGAGACAAGAAATCAACCAACTCATGTTTCTCTGCCATAGCAAGTCGTTCCCCCACTCTGGTTGTTCGTTCGGGTTGGAACCGATCGATCTGTACATCAACCAGGGGTTCTTCGGTCAAGTCCAGTGGCTTCTCCTCCCCATTCTGCTTGGGGGGAGGTTCCTGTAATTGCTATCTTGGGCTTGCCGAACAGATGGGTGCTTTCCCTTTTCCAGCATGCTTCAACGTTACTGAATAACATTCCTTAGCTGCAACCTGGTCCCCATGGATGTCGATTACCTTGGCTCCATCTGGCCCCAGGCATCTCATTACTTGATGCAAAGTGGAAGGAACACCTTGAACTCTGTGGATCCTCCCTCTGCCCATCAGAAGGTTGTACGAGGGATGGATTTCGACAACCACAAAGGTCTCCATCAGAACCCTCTCTGCAGCGCATACCGCTACCTCCACCGTACCGATGGGTTCCACTCGTTTTCCATCAAACCCTAGTAAAGGATTCCAGGTAGATTTGAGCCGGTCCGGCTTGATTTCGAGCCGATCAAATGTATCCCTCGGCATGACGTTCGCACTACTTCCAGGATCAATCAGAACTCTACGTGCCAAACATTCGGCCACTGTCAAACTAACGACCAACGGGTCCTCATGAGAGATTTGAACACGCAATAGATCTGTTCTGTCAAACTTTATCTGTGTTGATGCGCTCTGTTGGTGCAGAGTATTTACACTGCCCACCCTTCTCTTCATCCATGCATGGCGAAGGTGTGTTCGAAGTAGTTCATCTGACTCCTCAGTAGGCTCAGGGCGACCGTGAATTGCATTAATTATTCGGACTGGTTGCGTATTGTGAGGGTTCGATTTCTGATTCCTCTTCACGTGCTCCATTAGCAGGTTCTGTTCCGCCGCCGGGCCTTGAATATAACTTGCGAACCCCCCTCTGGCTATCAGCATCTCTACCTGTCTCCTTAAGTTCCTGCATTCTTTAGTCTGATGGCCAAAGTCAGAATGAAATGCACAATGCTTAGACTGATCCCTCTGTTCGAGGGGTTGTCTGATTGGTAAAGGTGGTCGGAACTTATCTTTATTTTCTTGGTACAGCCTTGCTAAGGTGACTTTCAATGGAGTAACCAACTCTTCCTCTCTGGGCCTCTTCTCAGATTTCCACGAGGAACGCTATGGCTGAACCTGCTTTTGTCTGATCTTTGCTTTGGTTTTGTCCTTTATTGATATGACAGATGTTTTCCGAGCGTTTGCTGCCTCTTCTTCTTCCAAGCGCACAAATCCATCGGCTCTTTCATTTAGTTCATCCATAGTCTTCGGCGTGTTCACTACCAAGCTTGTGTGGAATGGATTGCCACGAGTCATGGCCAGTATAAATGCTTGAACCGCCGTAGAATGGTGACATTTAATTACCATACTCTTGGTAAGGTTAAACCTGGTTAGGAAAGCTTGGAGGCGCTCATCCTCATGCTGCTTCATTGTGAATAGGCTTGAAATGTCCTTTGCAGGACGCTTATTTCCATAATATTGGCTTATGAACCGATCACATAAGCTTCGGAAACTATCTACTGAGCCCCTCGACAGGTTCTTAAACCAATTGAGGGCTGGTCCAGCTAGACTTGTAGGGAAACACTTGCACATCAAGGAATCATTCTTAGTGTTCAGAGCCATTTTCAACTGGATGTGATACACATGATCAATCGGATCGGTCGTTCCGTCGAACAGAATGAAGATGGGCATGGAAAATTTCCTCGGACTCGGAGCATTCATAATTTCATCAGTGAACGGTGAGTCAACCGTTCGAGCTGCTGAACGGAGGGCTTCATTTTCCCTCTGGAACCCCGCGGTTGCTCTCTGATCCACATATCTCCATTCTGAGCCGCGATAGTCGAACGTCGCCATGGAAGGCCGATAGGTCGGATCGAATGATCTGTCCTCTACGAACTCTCTGTGCCATGGAGGTATAGCTTTGTGACGATCAAACTCCATTGCTTCACCTCGGCTGAGCGTTTCTTGATATTGATCAAAGGTCATGGCTTCATTTCGCCTGATCTGTTCACGCCGTGGATCCACGTGAGTTGATCCTTCACGATCATCAATACAACGGGGATTTGGCGGCAAATCGTTTGGCCGGACTTCCTCGCGGTGAAGATCTGTCTGATCATTCCTTACCTCCTCACCATGATATGCCGCATCGGTATGTGCAACTTGTTCTCCAACCGGGAGCGGTCGCGAAATCACCGGGACTTCTTGACGCTACATTTCAGCCCTTAAATCTGCATTCTCTCTTCTGAGAGCTTCGATCATGCTCATTAACTCATCAAGCTTCACCTGCTGGACATTCTCTACCGTATTGGAGTTCTCACCCCCAATCATCATTCCAGAACGGAGCAAAGGCATGAATCGTAAATTCAACTCTAGATCAGAGCCTTGCCAATGTGAATCACGGCAGATCTGAACTCAAATGTTACGAGTTTTGCTTTCTTTTTGATAGATTAGAGTTGTTCCTGCGTTTGAGCTTGCCAGATCAAGTCGCGATGGAGTGGATCACGGCTGCGTAAACCTAACGCCAATCTCTCAGAATCAATCAAGAATCCAGAATCTCTTCAAAAGCCAACCGCAATCTCTTAAATCCGGACTAAACTGCTACAAATTAAGCTTCGTCATCATCAATCAATCGGAATCAACATGACGTTGATCAAACAAGAATCAATCTTCCACGATTTCCACAGATGGCGCCAATTGAAGATGCAAGAACTTCCTTCGATTTTTCTCTCTCTAAAATTCTTACACTTCAACAGAATGAAAAAATCCAAAAAGCCTCCCCCTCTCTCTACTCGTATGGTCTATTTATAGACCATCACCAAAATTCTAACCAACTTATTGTATAGGGCTCTTATTCTAGGGCCTTTTTCCTTTTGGGCCTGACTTCATTATGTGAGCCTCAGATGTTGGGCCTAACTCTCAGTGTTGTGTTATGGGCTGAGTTCAACTGTTCGGTCCGATCCTTCTTTCGTGGGTGTTGGGCTCATTGCGATACCCTTTTTGCTTGGGCTCGGACCTACTATTCAATCTGATGCCTCACTCGCGGGTCGGGTCTAGTCCAATCCGTCTTTGGTATCTTCAGTATATATTGAATATAGAAATACAGAGAGAAGGAGAGACAGCGAGAGAGAGAGACTAAATTGCTCAGCCCATTTTCTCATATATTTTAACCTTAAAACATAAAGGGAGTTATATACAATACAATAAAGGCCTAATTACATAATGGCCACAAACCCTATATCTAATTACAATAAGACCTCAGCATAAATACATATATACATATAAGTGTTTCAACATTATCAACAATGCTATGTTTGAGTGTACCGAATCGACAACTTCAATTTAAAATTAGAAAAAATTTAGTTAAAACTCTAAACCAAATGACATATAGCCTAATGAAATAACATCCCTATCCTCAGAGAGGAGGGGAGTGGGAAAAAGTGCGTTTGACCGTGTTTCTTGCAAAAAAAAAAAGAAAGAAAGAAAGAAAATATTCTCCAATCCCAGTTTAGAGCATTGATTTGGTACTCCCAAATAACGTAAGGGTAATAGCGACCTCCTGCTACAGTTTAAGTTAATCACATATGCCAATGAGAAATAAAATTGTCAAAAAGTAACATGTAAATATATGTCAACTTATCACTACAATTACAAAACAAGGGCCCCTCCAAACCATAAGAGATTCATGCCCATCATGTTGGCTCACCAACTTCACTTGCCTAACAATCTAATTGGTTGACCACTTCATTATATATATATTCCATAAGGGCGCGCACACACATCAAAGAAAATTCTTACCAATAACAGCATCAATGTACAAAACAACTAGCACCAGAAACAAGTTCTTACAATTCAAGTCAGAGTTCTTTTTTCCCCAGTCAACAGAGTTCAAATTAAGGATAGGCATTTCCTACACTATTACATGCAAATGCAGGAGTTCAGGAATGTGAGGTTCCTGCAGCCATGGAGAAGAAAAGAATTTTAGACCTTCCTCAGAAGGAGAAACAACCTCTGATCAACCTTAAATTTCTCCATCTTGTTAGGGTCCCCCTTCAGCATCATCTGAAGTCCGCCGAAAGAAATATATATCATCCTGAAGCCAAACAGAAGAACTGATCAAAATATTGCATTTATTAGATGATTAGAACAAAATAAAGTAAGCCCTTTTGAGTTCTGAGGTTTGTTTTAAAAGAAAACATAATTCCAAAAGATAAAATCATGTGTTGGAAATGAGCTATTATAATTTGCTTATGATATGTCTATCATGGTTCATGATTGACCACCATAAGATGATCGAGAAAACTGCCTTAACAAGATGGCATCATAACTTTTCCACTAGATGGTTCAGAAGCTGTCTTTAAACAAACTGCCTTACATATATAGAAACAAGTTGAGATCTCTGCCAACATTTCTTTTCCCTGTAACTTCGAGATGGCTGCACTCGATGCCAATTAGTTGGAAAAAAGATTTTGGTTGTTGGTAACTTCGAGAAGTCTGTACTTATACCACGCATACCATAATGCAACAAATAAATGTTTAAGCATACATGTAATACATACACTTTAACAATAGTGCTTGACGTGTCCTCTGACATCTTATATAACAGCCCATGCATGACATACTCAAATTTGTCTGCAAGTGATTTCGGTCCGCCCTGAAATTAGAGAACAATCCAGTTTGCCTTCAATAATTTTAAAATTTCTAAAGAAATAAAATATGCAATTCGCGGCATAAGTCAAGAAAAATTAATATTATAGTCTTAATGTTAAATAAGATCAATAATATTACAACTTTAATTTAAACCTGAAATTATTTTTCAACTATTTTAGCAAGAATTCTTTAAAATAGCATTACATCAGTAGTTGTCAAAGACATGCTTAGGTGTCAAGAGCAAGAACATGAGACGGAAGCGTCTATCAAGCGTCCATGTGCCACATGTTTACATACTTATCCCATGATCATATCAATTAATTACATATCATTTTCCCCCACTTTTGAAAAAAGTGCCAACATGAATATATGTGCACATATATTTATTTATTATTGGTTTTATAAAATCAAATACTATACCTGGTTAAATAATTAAAACAATGGAAAATTTTCACAAACAAAAAGTAGCTCAGTGGTGGGTAGGGGTGCACATAGTCCGGTTTGGACCGGATTGGGAGTTTTTTTGGGGGGCCAAACCATTTATAACGGTTCCACTATTTTTGAAATCAGACCGAACCATAATGCCCATGGAACCAAACCAAACCAAACCAATCCAAGCCAAACCATACCACGAAAAATCGGTTTGGTTCAGTTCGGTTTGTCGATTTCAGTTGATTTCCTTTCTATTTTATTTTTTAAAAACATAATCCTTATTTTTTCCTGCATATAATACATCAACAGGGAACCGACAATTCAGTATATATATTTATTATATATGTATTTTCTGATACAATTTGACAAACACTACTCTTCCACTTTAGTGTTTAAGGAACCAATAATCTCCTCTGGTCCCTAATGGTTATGCTTTATTTTTGCACCATGTGGTCTCTGATTGTGTAGTTTTTTATTGTTTGGTAATTTTCATATGATGTTTTTCTTATTATGGCCCATCATTTTGTTTTCTTTATCTCTCTCTTTACTAGCTTTCTCATGGCCTGAGAAAAGTTCAAAGAATATGTCCAGCCAAAACTATAAGTTATATCATTTCTATATATATATAAAAGTTATATAACGATTCGGTCCGGGTTGGGCTGGTCCAGCAGGACCCCAAACCAAGACCGGACCGTAAAATTACGGTTTCATAATTTTGGGCCCAAGACCGGACCAAACTGCTATATGACTAGCCCAAATCGCCCAGGTTAGTTCGGTTCAGTTCGGTTTTTCGGTTTATTGGATTTTTGAACACCCCTAGTGGTGGGCCCAAGAACATGTTAATTGGTTATTGGTTGGATCAACAAAAATGGGCATTAAACCTCCTTCCATGCTATGGTTAATTCTGTGGGAATGGAAATGAGATTACCGGCCTTTATAGGAATGAGATATCATATCATCATTGCCAAATATGGGAATTAGAAGCCCGAATCCTGCCATTGGCGAATCCTGCCAAACTTACACTAAAGATAGAAAAGATAACTATCGTTACCACACTTATGTTAACCATCAACCACTCCCAACACATGGAGCAGCACATAATACACATACAAGAACCAAAGATTGAATGGCTAACTACAGTCAAAAGTTGGTAACTCAACCTACTAAGAAAAACTAACATTTTACAGCAATCCAATTCTCAAATCCAAAAATAAAAATAACATGTGTTCTTTACCAAGAATGTATGAGGTCCAAATTTAAATATAGCACAAAAATATAGTTATTATAAACTGCAATGATAATTAGATTACCTCAGAAGAATAGCTACTGACAGCTGTTCCATCCAAATTGAGTGTTGGAGCCAATACCATCCTGAACTTCTCCCCAGCATTAATAGGGTATATTTCCGATTGTACATCCAGCAGCACCAGCATGTCATCCTCCTCGCTTTGAGCTTCAATACGAGAAACTGAAGAGACAAGACACAATTATGCAATTTTTAGCTTGAACAGCCAATAAATTACTGGAATGTAAACAAAGGAATTATATAGGTCCGTATGTTATGATTTAGAAAATTCATCCAAACTTTACTAAGAGATATCATATACATTTTCTATGTAGGTAAGAGGATTCATTCAACATTTTGCAGCCACCTAGATTGATGTATAGATTGCCAGAGTGAAATTATGAGAAGAAATATTTGACAAGAAGATAATTGTAACAAGTTGGGTGCTTCGAGATCCGACCCAAAAGCTTAACCTGTTAGGTGGGGCTAACACTCAACCCATATATAGCCATTCACTTCCCCATCCGGATCCGATGTGGGACAAGTCCCTCTTATAACAATAATCCACTAGTAATAAAACAAATAGAAACATCATTATTTGAACCCCAGTAAACTGCCAGCTATGAACTATTTCCTAAACAACGGAAGTGACTCTTACGGAATATGTCGATGGGTAGATAATCCTTGCAGGCTAAAGCAATTTACCAGACAATGAAATCAAATACCAAAGAACAGTTTCATACTCATACCATTACCACCCAAGGTAAAGAATGCTTTCAAGCTATGGTGGTAAAGTTGAGTCCAGAATTTGTAAAAAAATTTACTTCCAAAGATTAATATGCCAATAGGCACTAGTTTATAAGCTAGCCCCATTTCAGCTCATAAAGAAAACCTAGTACATTGTTTTTAAATACGAGCAGCCAAACCCAAACAGGCACTATTGGACATGACTTTACCACCATGAGTAAAGTCATCCATTCCCGACCCCATGAGTAGATGAACATTCAAGGATTCAATAGTCACGCTGCCCAGAATAATAATATGCCAACATTAATTGAAGAAGAGGCATACATACTACTAAGAAGATGATTCATTTAAAATAACTAGCAGGCCAAGACACTACTACCAACTCCGGAAAAAACTTCCTTGATACTAGAAAATCTGTTGCTCTAAAGCCTTTGTAAAGAAATACAAACTTTTTTCAGCTGAGGGAGAGAGAGAGCAAAGCAATTCCTCTTTCCCTGTTTTTGGTATAATTTGCAAGCATCACTCAAAGCAAACAACAAGTAACAAGAATCAAGAACAATTTTAAGTAAAAAGATTCAAGAACAAATTTTAATTTTATTATATTTTTTTTTTATCGAGTTTTTGGTAAAATTTCCAAGCATTACTTAAACAAACAACAAGTAACAAGATTCAAAATCGATTTTTTTTTTCGGGGGTAAATAAAGAGAATCAATATCAAAATGAGTAGTTGAAAATTCACAAGTGTACCTTTATCAAACTTTTTACCATCTGCATTCACTCGATCAACTTTAATGACATCATCAAAATATAGCTCAACCATCCTGACTGCAATTTTCTATCTCAAACGCAAATATACACCTAAAAATATAAAAATGGTAAGAGAAAAAGTTCATTTGTGTTGCAATTGCAATATCAATTACATATGGGTCAGTGAATGCTGTAGAAATTAAATAATGGGTAGTTCAAAATCATGTATTTCTATATACCGAAGTGGTTCTGTGTATGAATGGGTGATGTGTGTTGTGCTAAAAAAGAACAAATGGAATGGTTTTGGAAAGGAGGATACGAACCTGAAACCGAAATTAGGGCTTTTTTTTTTGGCTCTCTGCTCTGTAAATTGATTCCTCTGCGAAAACCCTAATCTTAGACCGACTAGGGTTCTAGTGAAGAACACGCAGAGTGGGCCCGGAGCACACACGTGTTTGTTTTTGGCAATTTTACATTTTCGTTTCCCTTTTCTTATTTTCTTTTCCTTTTTCTTTTCTTCTGTTCTTTTTACTTTTCTTTTTTTCGCCCTCAAGCGAACTACAAAAACAGTATCCTAAATTCAGATATTTGTTTTTATTAATAATTTTCTATTTAATGAAATAGGAAAACACGTGTTTGTCTATTTATGGCTGTCTAATTCAATATTTTGATGTTTGCCCGCTTATTTATTTATTTTTAAGAAAAAGTATTTTGACGTAAATTCAAGTTCAATTATTTTGATTTTTATTTATTTTTTGTCAGTAGACTTACATGGGCTAAAAAATCTTAGCCATTATTATTTTTTTTGACAAATTAATTAACGGGACACAAGTACGCTCGTTGAGCGCTCCACTAATCAGACCACTTATTAGTAATACTTAAAATTAGTAAAGTTAATTCATATTTGATTAGATCTTTTTTTGATTATATTTAGGTTCAAATACGATAAATATAAAATTTTAAATTGGATCAAATAACATTTTGCACAATATTTTTTTTTTGATCTACCAGTCAATAATTTTGATCTTCCACCAAATTAGCACATGACATTAATCTAAGTGTGGTGGTGGTAATTATCTTTATCTTTATCCCAAACAAAAATTCATTTTATTTTTCATCTATTTGTCCATCTTGACTTATTAAGTAAAAATAAACACATTGGTCAAAAGGCCATCACAAAAACCGTTCCACCAAATTTGAGGTTAAGAAAGATCTGAGCCGTTGATTAATAATAACAGATTAGATGCCCCTGTTCTTGGAGTTGCTCTAACCACAGACCAGTGTCCCACATTCTATTGGACGATTTAGATATGAATAAGAAGTCAACTCTATTCCCCGTCGCAATCAAATTCAGGAATATCCGACCGCAGAGAATCATCTGCTTTCTTGATGTTAATCCCTTTTGGACTCAACAAGCCAAAAGTCACTTTTCAAAAGTCGATCCAAACAAGGCCTACAATCTAAATATCTACAAGTAATAGTAGTCGTGGAGTTAAAATCAAATAAAAAAGAATTGAAAAAAAAAAAGTTGTGAAGTTACAAATATGACGTGAAATAGATCCTAAGCACACGCTTGCCCATTCAAACAGTTATAAGAAGCTTCAAACTCGCTCCCTCTCCGGCTACAGAGAGTTGTATAATCAGTAAGCCATGGGACAAGTTTTAGAGAAACTTCGAGGTACTGTACAATTCAATACAAATCTTCTCTCGCATCTTGTTTGAGTTGTCTCAAAATCTCTGAATCTATAGATATTGATGTTGCTTTGTATTCAACAACTTTGGCATGCAATTCTAGGGTTTTCAAATTGTTGAAAAAAAGTGGTTGAATTGCTGTCTACTCATATTTGTTTGTTCATTTTGTTTATTTATCACTAATTTGAGAATATCCTCTCTTTTTTTACAATCAATTATTTCATACATTTACAATCAAAATCTATCCCTGCAAATATTATCAGTCATATTAGAGCTTTCACCTAATTTTTCTTGATAGAATGATATGGGATTCTTCTCATTGTGATCTAAAATAAATTACAATAGTAATAATATGGAAGTGGATACTATATGATCTCTTATAGCTGGATTCAATTGAAGCTAAAGAGAATATACCATCTCGAATAAATTTATTGAAAACCTACTAAGTTTGTGATCGTAACGCAACTGATCCAAGTAAAGCTATTTTCGCTTATTTGTGGGGATTTGTTTTTCCAATTCTTGGAAATCGAATCAACACAAGTTGGAAGATTCCAAGTTTTATTTTTTAACCCTTTACAAAATTAATTGAAAGGATTTAAAAAATATCAGCATTTGTTTGGATCCTGAATATGTATTATAATAGGCATTCTGTTAGACAAGGAACTCAAAGCGGGAAAAAAAGACAGTGCCCTTGTTGGGAGAGTGATTTGTTTTGCTTATAGTGTGACCACGTGTGCATCTAATGCGTCACTGGGGAAATGGCCTACAATTTCCACATAAGTGAGTTCTCATGTCTTTTAAATGGATGATGGTCCCCCTCATTAGGATTGGATGTTCTCGAAATCTCTCTGCCTTCTAGTAGAAGAGAGTTGTGGAGTATCGGAATTTTGGGTTGAGGAACAATGATTTTCCAGATTCTTCTCGTCATGTTTCTTTAGGATGTTGATAATACAGAAAGATCATTAAAATTATTGCATTCTTCTCTTTGTGGGATATTATAACCCCGTCTACTTTCTGATGTTTGCTTTCTTTTAATTTAATACTGACTATTTAATGTTCTTGGGTACTCAAAATGTGACACAATGGAGAAATTTTCCTTCAAGGTTATATGAGACTGATAAACCCAGTTTTCGGGCTTCAAATTTCAATGCATCCTTAGCTTGAAACTTACAGGCACTCTACCTTTGCTTTGATTTAAGATGCCAGCTTGTCAATTTTTATGTTTTAATTAATTGGGTCTTCTTCAATGTGGACATATAAAATTATAAAAACTTAAATTCATCTAAATGTGAGAGTTGAGACATGCAACATCCTCACACATATTTGATAATTTTAAGAACTTGTGCAGGAAGGGAGTGGAGACAAAGACAAATAAGAAAGATATCAGACAAAGTCTTTGACCGAATCAAAAATGAATCAGGAAGGGTCAATTTGGCATTTGAAGATCTATACATTTCCGTGCTACTTGTGTACAAGTAGGGTGTTCTACCTATTTGTGCTCTTTGTTTAAATTCTGGAAAACTTGGTCATTATTTTTATCATTTAGTTGGCATGATGGTTTTAGCGTATTAAGTTATTGTTGTTTTGTTGTAGTGACATTAACAAACATTTGCCTGGACCTCATTTTGATCCCCCGCTGAAGGAGACAGTCAGAACCTTGATGTTGGTATGTTATGATTGTTTAATATAATGATGAAGTCCGTAACACTGTAAAGTAGACTTTGTTATGAAGTGCATTAGTTAATGTAGAAACAATATTTGGTTTACTATATTTGTAGATGTTGTTAAAGTAGTATTTTCAAATGGATGCTATTGCATTGGGACTTGGGAGGTGCTCAGATGAAGTTTTTTTTTTTTTTTTCCCGAGAGATAGTTATGGTTATCAACTACCCTATCAATGATTGTTGCAACCTGTGTTTTGGCACTACAAGCCTAATTCACTGTTTAATGTGTTCCAATTTTATTGATATATTCTAATAAAGCATACTCCTTGGCCAAAAAGAGGTGAAAATGGCATCTTCGATGTAATGAGATAGAATTAAGGGTACTTCCACAATCCTAGGTGCTATATCCTTTAAGAAGGGGTTACACACTAATCCCTGTTCACCACAATTGTGAAGCCTCTCTCTCTCTCCTGCACTGTGAACACGAGGCTTCTCTCATGGACTCTGTTGCAGTGAAACCCTCTATATTGGTCTCAATTTCGATCTCTCAAATAAGGTTATTTTCTATAAGTCACATTACAGAATCGTGGATATAAAGAGTGTTGAAAATTTAGTTTTGGTTGATCAATTCTTCTTACTCTCCTTCGTCTTCCTTTTGTTCCGCACCCACTCTATTATATACTTGAACAACATGTGCTCGACCCTAGAGACTGTCCAAAATTCTCTTGTAGTCTCCCTCCAATGCAATATGTCCCATTTGGTTCTGTTTGCGATGATAACTGACCCAGTTAATTCAGTGGTTAAAGTACTGCTTTCATACGGCAAAAAATCATTGGTGCAAATCTAATGCACTATATTAATTTATATGGAGCTATTATAGTGGGTCTACTTTTTGGAGAATATGATGGAACATCTTTCGCCATTTTTTTTTTTTTGAATGGCAAAGATGATTCACTAATAGACGGGGGAATAAGTAATTCAACTCATAGATGGACTTGTTACCGTTTTCCCTCACCTCATTTAAAAAAATACAATTATGTGCTTCTCTCTCTCTCTTTCTCTCTTTTCACACACATTTCTTGTCTTAGTTTTGCGTTTTTATTAATGTGTCTTATATAGCGAGTTTTGGCTTTCAAAAATGCTCCTCAAATTAGAAGAACAAAATTAATTTGACAATTTTTATACACCAGCAAACCTGAGAATATCCACATGGGTGGCAAATCACGTACTTGTTCTACGTACCACTGAACTTTGCCTCTTAACAATGAGAAATTGGCCCCTTTTGATACTTGCCTACATGAGTCACCACATCTCTTTTCTCAGGTGCATTTCCCATATGTTATAACCACCTTTCTTTTATTCTCTCATCCAAAAGCCTTTCCCATTCAACTTCAGTGTCTCCAAAAGCTCAATGGGCAAGGCATGGTTGTGAAGTAGCCTTCTTGTACTCTATATGCTACTTAATATTTTGTGTTGTTGCCAACTTCATGAATACTAGTAACTACCTAGGTACTTCACGACTATGCCTTGTCCATTGAACTTTGATAATTGGAAATCATTTCAAACGGCAAAAGCAAATATATTTTCATGTTTCGAGTAATTCTCACGAATACAAATGACATATTTAGGAAACAAATCAAGAATGATTACCTTGATATTTGAGTTGTCCCATCAAAGCCACACAATCCTTAAATGCCATAAAAGAACAAAAGATATACCTATGTGAATATAGGTGATTGGCTACATCAAAGCAGCACAATCTCTAAGTGCCTTAGAAGAACCAAAGATATGCCTATGCGAATGCAGGTGATTGGATACACCACTAAAAAGTTTCCATACTTGAGGAACATCAAAGGTCAAAACTAAATTCTAAAAAATTATCCTGGTAGTGATTATTTTATTCATGTGCTTCATTTATAGAATTAGCAAGTTCATTTACCTTTATCTGTATCAACCCTTAACCAATTACCAATACAAAATTCCAATCGCTGGTTAAGGTTTCTTTGTGGGCAGATATCTGATATGTCTTACAATCTGTTGGTGGCACCACCCTTTCTCTTTGACTTGAAATGTGAAGAGAAGATGCCGGTACTTTTAACAAGTATTCAACAAGAGAAGTAGTATGTGGTATATGCCATCAATAATGTAATGCAGTAATTCAAAAGTGTGTGTAACACGATGGACTTATTCTATTTCCATGCATGTTTAGACATCCATTGGTAGCCACATCATCTGTGTTGAAATTGAAATTGAGCTCATCTAAGACTGCATGTACAGGTTTGTTTTTCTCAAGTACACATGAGAACTTCATTACAATTCCTGAACCCAGCACCTCTAGCTTATCGCATCGCTTGAACTCAGATAAGCTCAATTATCCTCATATATAATTATATGAGACGGAAATTTTCATTTATATTTATGTTTAACAGAAAAGGAAAAGATTCTTCCGACTTTCATTGGCAAGGAAGAGTTTTCTTTTTAGGCATAATTTTGAATGATTTTTATTGACAAAGAGCAAAAGAGTATATTTCTTTAATTGACCCCAGACAAAACCTCTTTATATTATGAGTGTTTCTCTTCCAGACCATGTGCTCCACTGGAGTTGAGACAAACCTTGATGATTTATGAAGTACTCCGTAACTAGTTTTCAAAATATTTTAAGCTGTTAATATGTCTCAAATAGAAGCAACCATGTCAAGATTTTTTTAGCATTTTTCACTGAGGTCTATCCTGGGTGTAGACTGGTGCTGCAGTGTGTTGATTCCTCCCTTGAGTAGGGAATTTAAGCTCCTCAAATTATTTCGAACAACAATGCAGTTTGCCGGGCAGTTGATGCATATCATTTTATGGCATGACATTTGGAGTGTGGCAATATGATATATGCAATATACCTTTCTGCACAAATCTAGAGTTATGATTGCAGCAGGCTGCCCTACTATCTTCGTACTTATATAGGTCAAAAAAGGAAGGGGAAAAACAACAGTGATAGCAATATGATGCTCTCTTACTTATTTTTTATTTTTCCTCTGAATGCAGGATTGCGATATCAATCTTGATGGAGAACTTGACCGTGAAGAATTTGTGAAGTTCATTAAACTATTAACAGCAGATACCTTCAACACTGTTAGTCAGGGACTGATCATTGCGTTGGTTGCAGCACCAACATTTGCATTAGTAACAAAGAGGGCAACAGAGGGTGTCCCAGGTGTTGGCAAGGTGGTGCAGAGGTTACCGAATTCAGTTTATGCATCCATTGTGACTCTTGCAGTTGTGATGTTCCAAAAATCAGGCCAGGAAATCGAATAAACCCACTATTTTCTTCCAGTTGAATTTCTCCACATTGTATATAGAGTGGCCAGTGATTATTTGCATGCATGTAGTAAATAAGCGAACTGGTTATTCAGCTTTTACATTTTAAAACATGGAATATGTTTGTAAGGAGATACACTTCCACTTGGGCTCTTTTGTTATTTGCAAGTATAATTAAACAAGTGAACTGATCATTTGCTACAAACATTGCGAAAACATAGAAAATATGCTTCCACTTGGTCTCTTAATGCTTGCTATTCTTGTTATAACTTAAATTTTCTTTGGCGATAACCATGATTCTCATTTCTTTGGGATTAGGAAGGGTTGGGGTTTGTAATAGGAGCATAATTGAAGGCTCATTTGGATGTTCATATATATATTTTTTTATATGTAACAGAACAACTGTATGTGCAATTTCTGATGATAATCAGGGTATGTCAAAGCTTATTAAGTGCCAAAAACAAGTTCTAGGAAAATCTTGCATTTTCTTTCGAAGGCACCATATGTGACTCAGGAAGCAAATGCAATGCTAGAAATATTTTGTGCCTGTTTCATGATTCTTGAGGTTAAAGACTATGCCGTTATGTAATTTATGTGGCCTAGGATGTAGGAAACTGTTAATAGGTTTACCTGTGATTGGTTTCATGATATTTGAGGCCTATGGCTTTGTGGAATTGTATGGCTTAAGCTGTAGCAAACCGTTGTCGTTTTACCCAATATGGGAGATGCAGCAGTACGGCAGCTTCCACGCTTATGGGGAACTTTTTAGTAGGATTTACGAAAACAGTTCTCACGAACTTAGAAGACAGATGTTTTCATAAAACTATAGAAGACAGTTCTCTAATTGAGGTTTTTTTTAAAAAAAAGCGAAATAGTAGACCATGCAGATTTTTGTACAATTTTTTAATTTTCGGTTCTCACCATTGTTATTGTAATCTGGCTAGCGTGCTAGCTAGGACATGCTCTGAACACAACTTTGTTTTACGCTTTTAATTAGAATTTCTTTTGAAAATTTGCCAAATTGGTTAGACTGTCACCACCGGAAGGTCTGGCCTGATCTTGATACCCTCGTGTCCATATTTTCTGCTTCATGTTCATGTTCATGGTGCAAACAGATGGCCACAAGTAAAACCATAAGCAGCTTCAACTGACCAGCTCTTTATTGATATTCACTTGGTATGGTTCAACACATCCCATGGATGAACAATAGTCATTGCATATTTCGTCCGACCGGAGCAAAAAAAATTTACCAGTTTTTGTAACAATATATAATCATTCTATCATGATGATCAAATCGTAAAAACAGACTCTCTTCGCGATATATTCACATGAACGTGCCAGATTTAGCACACACCTTCTGATTTATATGGCTCACTATAAATTGATCTAACAATATAGTAAATTTCTATTTCCACCAAAGCATTTGCTATATCCATATCAGAGTTTATCGAAAACGAGAGCCTCTTAAGAAGTAAATCATAATAATACAATTTCTTAAGAGAGGAGGTCAATTTTACAATGTTCCTAAATATCTGGTATAGCAATCTTTTTACCACTAATAGAACACAACAGGCAGAACAGGAAGCAGGCTTAGCAGCATCAAGGTGAATTCAACTTTTGTAGCTTCGCCTTGGCCGTATCGAGTTCTCCTGTCCAGTAACCAGCATAGAAAATGAGAAGATATGTCTTAGGAATATTTGGCATAAGGAAGATGACTATGGAAAGTACAGGAGGGAATTCTTACTCTGCTCAAATGCTGTTGCTTTCGGGACAGTTGTACGGAAAAATATATTCCCATTTTTCTGATAGACAGCCTACGATCGAGCAATACAATTATTTCTCTGTAACTAACAAGACTGGCTATGGGCAAGAACCAAAAAAAGTAAAAACTATAGAAAAAGCAAAGAGTATGGCTTATTGCAGTAGAACTTAACAGCTTAGTCTAAGAAACTGAGTTCGAAGTTTCCAAAAATTAAATCAACTCTTGCAAAAAATTATTAAAAATAATTGCCAAACTATAAATGTTGGGATTGTAATGGCTCCTATGCTATAATCCCATAGCCACAAGATATACTGATGTGAAATAAAAGAAAGAAATTGCGGTTACACCAATGATCTTGTGCATTCATTAGATGGTGAAAATTTGAATTTATTTTCTTTCTGCTACTGCTCCATGCAAGTATGTGGGCGGTGACATGAAGCTTTTTCGAAAAGAGGGATAAAAGTTCTATTACTTGAAGCTCAATTTTGTCAACAAATATATTAAGAGTGACAAATACGTTTGACAACAATGAGATGAAGATGTCGGAAGTCCTCCTTGGTGCTTCCTTTCACTCGGTGGCATAGCCAAAGAGGGACAAGTGGGGGCAACTACCCCCACTGAACTTTTAATTTTTAAAAATTTTATATGGAAAGATTTTTATATTTGTATTGTTGCCCCCTCTAAAATTTGAGAGTGCACACATATATACTATATATATTTATATAATCAAAAGCCCATCACGGGAGGAATATAATCGTGACATAATTGTAAATATATATAATACATCTATCAATTTATACTTTCCCAAAAAATATGATATTCTTTTTCTCTTTTCCAAAATATTATATTCTTTACCACCTTCCCAAAAAAAAAAAAACATTTCATCAAGATATTTTACCACATTTTTTGACTTTACCACAAACAAATGGATTATTTCCATCACATCTTCATCTTCAACATTTTTCACAATCCAAACAAAGCAAGCAGAGCAACCATTTACCAGTAGATAGAGGCTCAGTTCGTCACTTCGTCATACTGCAGTGCGACAGACATGTAATCTTATATTTTTTTTTATCATCTAAATTTATTATTATTTGATATTATAATTAAATTATATATATATATATATATATATATATATATATATGTATTATTGCTATTAAAGATTGCCCCCAGAGAAAAAAAATTCTGGCTACACCACTGCTTTCACTCCCTAATCTCCCCACTCCCCCACCCTTCATTTTCTTCCCCAAACAACTTTTAATCATTTGGTGTTGTAAAGTCTTTGATGTAAGGAAGTTGACAGAAAAATACTGTAGAGCATAACAAGTAACATGGCAAAGCAGATGAATGAAAAACAAGCCTTATTCAGAAAATGATAGCTTGAATTGAATTCTACCAAGTATAGGGCTAACAACTTGGCAGGCATAGGCTCTACTCATGTAAATTGGTGAGTTGGAGAGTGTTGAATTTGAATGATACAAGTTCTATTTGTTCAAAAAATAGCTAAATATGAGATATACGAGACTATGAGGACTAGGCTCCTTGGAATTGAAATGATATGTTTTTCGAATTTGTTCAAACTTCTCAAACTTGATTTCCTCCAATTTCAACTTCAAGACACAGGTTTGATACTCCCAAACATATCATTAGCTTAAACTGGAATTTATTATCTCTCATTCCAATGAATCTAGTTCGCAATTAAAGTCATTCCGATTCAAGTACTCCACATATGAATTCAATACATTTTAATATATAAAAAGGATAAAACAAAATTTCCAACCAATGGCTTATTAAAAAAAATAAAAAAAAGAATTTCCGAATCCAACCAATGTACATCATTAATCTCAGAGCCTTAGATCTGATAATTTTCATCCTATATTCATATAAAATAAAAGTTGATTTTGGGAATAACTACTACTAAAAGTTTCTAGAAATATCTCATGATATACCACAGGTTTCAAGACTAATTCGGACGGAGGGTACCTATAAAGCAATAGTCCCTTCAATTAGGGCAAAATTCAAACATTCTCACCCAACAATTTGCCACACACCAACCATTTCATTTTTCAGGTTCCAAAAAGTTACAAAATTTTCCATTTATGTGAACAGATTTTTGCTAGTGAACTTGTATGCACAAATATGCATGTATATATAAACCAATATATATATATATATATATATATATATATATGTTAGATTGTGGAATTTACACACCCGAGATGAAGAAATATTACTGAGCTCTGCTATAGCAACCTCGTGACTCTTTATCTGCGCCAAAATCACACATGCCCATAAAAAAAAAAAAAAGATAGTGAGAATATCATAGAGAGAAAGAGGTATACCTCTTTGATGAGATCGCTATTGGTGGGGATGGTGGCTAACGGAGACGAAGAAGCTGCCATTGTTTCCCCCTTTGCTTCCTCTTCAATGGGTTTAAGAAGGAGGGTATGGGCCAGAATTGGACGGCCCAACTCCACCCATCCCAATATTTCATGGGAAGTACACTATTTTTTAGAGTTTTTTTTTTTATTATTTTTTATTTTTTTGGTTTTATTGACGCATTCATTTACCTCGAGTCATCGATTTTTTATTTTTAAAAGACAAAGAACTAAACTACAACACCTTTGATAACATTTAGACTTCTCAATTAACATTACATTTGTTCATATTAAACATGATTACATTCAATCAAATGGAAATATTTATATTGGAAATTTGATTTAAAAGGATTGATTTGATAATAAAGTGGAAATTCAGAGAGTTCATGAATTAGGTTATAACTCGATGAAATTAATTAGTTTAAAACAATAAACAATATTTCCTTCTTAGAAAACTTCCCAAGTTTAAATTTAGAAAAAATTAAATTCAGTTTCACCTCTGTAGACCAAACTTCATCTTTAGAATATTTGTATGTCATACCCTTTTCTTTTTTATTTTTAAGCAAATGCAAACACTCAAAATCCACGTAGAAATCAAATTCTCATTGTCCCCTTTGGAGAAATCATACCATTGTGCTAGAGGTCCTTTGACAAGCCATAATATGTATAATAGAAGAAATACATTTGAAAATAAAAAAATTGAAAAATTCAGTCATTTCATGTCATTACTTTACCATTCTTCAATTTGAGGAATGGTAAAGAATTATAAAGGGAAATTATTATGTAAACTCATTGATAAGTAAAGTTGACGCGGTTAATTATCACTCTGTTTGTGTGTGAGCATGCGTGCGTGAGAGAGAGAGAGGAGCATCACACCTTGAACTCCAAATATATACCAACTCTTTTTATTGTTTTCACTCATTAAAGAAAAAAGAAAAGAAACTCAAAAATAGGAAAGAAAAAAAAAACACACACACAATAGTAATTAAATTGAAATCATCCCTACATTATTCGAGTGCATGGGCATCAACTTAGGATTGAAATGGGAGCCCCCCATTGCTCATGTTGATCACTTGAGTAAGATGTACCTCCTGAGGAAGCAAATGATACTAACTATGTGGTTCTCAGAAACCTTCTCCAGCTCATCTGCTCTTTGGGTATTGTAGGTTTCCTCGAACTTCACATCCACCTCAGGCAGTGTCAGTGTAATTTACCCTAAACTAAATGTCAAAGGAACCTCTAACATCATCCAGACTCTCTCCCATCGATAACCTGCCAATAAACAAAATAGTTCAAATTATATGGAATGCCCACCCAATATTTCTAAAGAGCAGATTCATCATATGTTATAGTTAGAAGGCTAACTGAAAAGAGAGACAAAAAAAAAAAAAAAAAAAAAAAGGAGGTAGTCTTCACATCTATCATAAGAGGAAGGCAAAGTTGAAAGGTAAAAGAAGACGAAGCGACAAGATTGCAAGACGCTGACAAGTTCGACATGTTCATGGTTGAACCCTGTGATAGGCCAAAGTGACAAGTTTGCAGTGTTGTTTATTATAATACAGTAGTTGCCAGTTCCGTGAGTATTAAAAAAAATTAGCACCAGAAGGCCCATGAATATTCAACAGAAGCAAATACTTGAAGTCCTATGTCACCGCTAAAAGCACAAAGATCAGGTCCATGTTTACTATTTTCTCTTCAATTGATGAGCTGGATTATATAAGTTTGAGTGATTTCTATTTATGTGTAGAGGAAATCCCTAAAAAGCTCAAACTTCTTTACCTTTTCCCCGTTTCAGAACCCTTACCAAACTGTATCAAATAAATAACCAAAAGGCGAGTCTCTACATGAACAAAGTAAATTAAAACAATAAACTACTCCCAGGTTTAGAGCAATAATATGTGGATTTGATAACAAGATTTGACGCCCTGTTACTCTCCTTTGTCATGCAAAAGTTTCCAGCAGCTCAATAAGCATAACAGTTCCAGAAGTACAAACCAGCCAATTCTTAATAGCATAGGTGCCCACCAAAAACCTAATAAGAATACAGCAAAAGAGTAATGCTATTAAGAGAGCTCCCTCGTGATGAGAGCCATGAGCTCTCCATATTTAACCACTGGATTGAAAGATGTATTAAATGATTTATTTGACTTTTCACAGATGTCAAAAAACTGTCTCAATCCAATGATTAATTGTGGAGAGCTCATGACTCTTGTAATGACTCATGAGGGAGCTCTCTTCATAGCATTACTCGCAGTAAAATTATTTGAAGAAAATGATCAAGTAGCAAAACTACAACAACAACATGTAAGGATTTATCCACCTCTCCTCCTCATATCTTAAGCATAATGAGTCAGTTTGGATCAGTTCACCAAACAATTAACTGGTCAAATATAAAATTCAAAACCATGCATGAGATTATGAATTCAACAGTAGCACTTTAGTTCCTACCGGACATGCTTTGAAAATTAGAAAATTGGAGAGTTGCCCCATGAAAGTTGAAAATTTTATTCACTCCACCTTCTACCCGTCTAATGAACATTCGCGGATGGTAATTCCAAAAATGTGATCTCCCGATCATCCATTGTCTGACAAAAATAACAAAACCTAAGGGCTTTCCCTTGCCATCGTAAAAGTCGCTAACAAAGGCTACTTTCGCCCCAACAGCAAATCAGAAGAAAGTGTCTCAAGAGGTGCACCTTTACAGCAAGTATCCTCCTAAAATGACACCCACTCTCTCTGCATTTCTTATTAACTGATTGATGCTTGTGAGAAGTTAGATGTGGCACCAATTGAGGACAAGATGAAATAAGCGCTTTGAATTCTTTCATATTGATGGGTCATATGCAATTAAGACTGCTGCATGCACAAGTTCCAACTTACAGGTAATGATTCAAACGATGGTGCTATGCAGAGGGGCAAAGAAACCAACATTGTTTGAGGTGGCTCTTTTCCATTATGCTATGAGCCATTCAAAAGTGAAAGCCAACACCAATCAAGTTGTAGGAAGGCTGTCACTCATTGTCCAACCCAGGTAACATAAAGTTCCATTTCAATTAAGCATTTTAAACCACAACTTTTTCCGGAAAATCGATCCTCACACACAACAAAACCCATAAATTGAACATAGCATCACAATCAGAGATGAATTGTCAAACATATAATACAACCTATTCTGATCAGTCCCTTGAGACCAAACACAGACTCAAATCACTTGAGAATTAATATATCTAATATAAGCCAAGGTGTACTAACTTGGATCAAAAGTATCAACTAGTTCAACAAATAGCGAAGTAAAATGGAATTTAGTATCATCCTACAAGATGAGATGTAATCAGTCTCAGGAATTCAAGGCTGAAACCCAAGGGCCAAGACATAGCAACTGCCATAGAAGTGAAAGGTGAGGCATTGTGACTAGTCTGACAGATAGTAAAAAATGGCATATGTCCATGGCCATGGCAGGGTTTATATAAATTATGCACTGGGCATTGATGATGATTCACAGTTCAGCTAATATTTCATGATGAGCTACTTTCCAAACACAGCTTCCATTAAACAAGATTTAATACAAGGTCCAATGAAAATGGAATTCGATCTACTAAGTAATATGACAAAGGTTCAATAACTGAAAAATAAAAATAAAAAGATTCTTGTTGAACTGAGGTAGGAGTGCAACATGGATAGATTTCGCGGATTGAGGCATCAATCAAAGCTCAACCCAAGGTATAGAACCTTAGCCCAAGATCGAGCCCAATGTGACGTAGTTTTTTTGAGCTCACATTAGACTTGGATTGGCTTGAGTTGGGCTGTAGTTACTAATAATAAATAATAATATGGATTGGAATTGGTTAAGTGTGATTTGCTCAACACCTTTGCCAAGCCCCAAAACACCAAGAAGTGAAAATATGATGGCTGGTTTCTAAATGAAGATAAAATGAAAAGCTTCCTTGTATCATTGTTCACAGATGGAACTGTTACAAATCCCTTGAGCGAAGAGACAACATAGGATCATCTCAAATATCCAAGAGTACTTGAGAAGACACTGTAGGAGTATTTGCGTTAGACATATTATGCACAAAGCATTACAGTATTCCTTAACAGTTGCCGTAATTCCATCACAGAAACAAAAAAAATTCACACGCCAGACCAAGAACATTGATTAGAGCAAGCTTCTAGCCATAACAACGTAAACAGTTTTACAAACTGTACACAAGTTTTTCTTTTTTCATGATATTTTGTGTTGTTCAACATCAAGTTGCATGATGGAAAACATAAGCATTAAATTCAGGTATACAAAAAATAAATAAACAAAAATAAATTAGATCCCAGAAAATGTGATAGCTTACTTGTGCATACAGTACTTGTACTCTTGGCTCCTGGTATAATCTTTTTCTCCCTCTTCCAACTGACAAGATAACACATAGATTCACATATTCATACCCAATACTAAACAAGTAATCTATTACTAAGGTCCTAAACAATACAATAATTTCTCTCACCGGATCGCTCTCGTAAACGAGCTCATAACAAGCTGGCGACAAACATCGCAAAGCGCAATTCTCCTTTGCTACCATAGAAGACTTGCATTGCCCACCCCATAATCCACTTTTATAATTAAAATGCGCCAACAAAAATAACAATTAGTCCAACAAGAAATGATAACAACCATATCTCAAAAAAGAAAAAAAGTAATAATAAAATTAATAGTACAGCATAAACAAAAATATTGACTTCATATGTTGCTTGGGCAGCAATAAGATCAAAAGAAAATAAGAGAAATTTTGGAATATCAGGTTTAATGTAATTCATTGTACATGGGTCATTATTTTCTCATAATTTTCTTAATTATGAAAGTATAAACTTTTAATTTTTTTTATTGCTAATTTTTTTGAGAAAACAAAAGGGAAATCATTAAAAATACCTTTGGATGTCTTCGTAACACTGGTTTTTCTTTGCTTTGATCTCATATTCCTGTTTCCAAAAAGGGTACAAAAAAGCAAGAACATTTGAGAGATTGAAGAAAGATAGTGTGTGAGTCAGTGATTTTATGTTTGGATTGATGGAAAACAGAGAAATTGAGCTTACTGAGATTGGGCGACCAGACTTTGCAAGGGCTTGATCTGGAGAAATCGAACACACAACAATTACCCCCAAAACACAGATGATGAATACTGAATTTGGGTTTTTATGATTAAGTGATACAGAAGCCATTTGAGTATATCACTTCTCTTCCGACACTGTGTTCTGTTCGGACTGAGGGCTTTTGTAGGAAAACGATGCTCTGTGTGGAACCAACTCCTTTTGCTTCCTTCGCTAGATGGAAATAAGGAAGAAAATAAATGGAAAATAGAAGAAAAGTTAATGAAGGAAAAGAAAAATGATTTTATTTAAAAAAATTGTAAAAAGATATTAATTTATTATTTTGGATAGTATAAAAGTATCAGTGTACCAAAAATAAATAAGACACATATTTTTTTGGGTTAAGTATAAGACACATTCTTTCTTCCATAAACAAAAAAAACACATTCTTTCTTCCGTAAATAAAAAAACTTACCAGGATAATAAAAAAGACGAACAACTTCGTCTTAGATTTGAATGGTAAAAAATAGATTAACAAGGGTAAATTGTACTGATTTTGGTCAACATCATTTGACAGATGTTTTTTTATTTTTTTTATTTTATTTTTTTTATGACACTTTATGAGGGTTTAAAAATGTTCATTGACACCCCTTCAAATCTCTGAAACCATATACATTGCACTGACATTCTTTTGATTTGAATATGTTACCTTTAACTTGTCAACAACTCTATTTAAATAATAAAATTACAAATTTAACCTCTTAATTAAATTTAATGAGCCAAGCTAACTTCTTCATCTCTTCTATACGTTAAGATATAATTTATATATAACAAGACTTATACAAGCATAACAACCACCACAACATAAAATAAAAATAATTTTTTTTAAAATAGCAAGATAGTTAGTACACCACCGTAACTGTCACCACCACACCCAAACACCATAATAGGAAAAAGAAATTGAAAACAACTATGGCCAACCCATACTTATACGTCTCAAACATCACCGCCACCACACCAAAGACAACACCACCAACACACCTAGACGCTACTATAGAACCACCACTACCATAATTGGAAAAAATAAAGATAAAAATAAAAATTTTGAAACACCTTGATAACCTAATGTTACAAGTGAAACTTGTCCCACATCGGATTTGGATGGGGGTTGAAGTGTGTATAAATGGGTGGGTATGCAGTATTACCCAATAGTTCGAGTTTTTGGGTAAATGGGCAAGTGCCCACCCGTTACAGTTAGTATCAGAGCCAGACCTAGTCCTTAATCCGGTGTCACGCCAAGCGCCCGGCTCAGAAGGCGTCCGGGTCTGCCTCCAGGTAGGCAGGGTGGTCCGACCGCAACGAGGGCGTTGCGTGGGTTCGGGTGGGGGAGAATGTTACAAGTGAAACTTATCCCACATCGGATTTGGATGGGGGTTGAAGTGTGTATAAATGGGTGGGTATGCAGCATTACCCAATAGTTCGAGTTTTTGGGTAAATGGGCAAGCGCCCACCCGTTACACCTAGACACTATCATAACTACCACAACCACACCCAAACAAGACCACAACAACCACGAGAAAAAAAAAAATTAAAAACAACCATGACCAAACCTAGACCCACCACAACAGAAAAAACATAAAAAAATAAAAGCCATATCCAACCTAGACACCACCACCACCATCAATCGCCACCAATTCCCACTAATTCTCTTATCTCCTAACTCTCACACCCACTTTCCTTCCGCAACATTTTCCTCCCCAAATTATGGGAATTAACTTGCTTTAACCGTCATCTCCTCAGCTGCCAGTTACGTTTCCCTTCATCGGCCACCGGTAGCTCTTCCACCGACAAGAAGAATGAAGAGGGGTGCAATTTACCCACAAAAAAAATAATAATAATAAATAATAGGGGTGTCATTATTTAAAAAACCGTTAACCTACATTTGAGTAACATTGATTGAAACCTCAAAATTGTCGATGCAATTTATCCTAAAAAAAAATATTACAAATTACATTGACTTCGAATCCTAATTTTGCAAATACATGTAGTCAAAGTCATAAAATTTAAAGGGACGATCAACCGTTAGTCAAAATGGTCATTAAATGAACAGTGAGGACCTTGAGAGGCGCGAATATTTTTCATATATAGGAACGGACACGTTTTATACGCGTACGATACGCGAATTAACGAACCAGACCTTATTTCACTTTCAAATTTGCTTCTTATCCAAACACACAATAAATCAATTGATTTAAAGAGCTGCATGGCATGTCCCTTCCCCCAGTCATCCTCAAAACAGCGGTTGTAAAAACCACCGTCAATCCACTTTCGACGCTCTTCTTGCATCCCCCTCTTCCAATTCATTGAAACCTAGAGAGAGAAAAACCTAGAGAGAGAGAGGAGAGAGAAACAGAAGATCATTATTGCATTCCTGCAATACTACCAGATCAAACCAAGAATATTAAAAGAGAACTACAAATATATATATATATATATATATATATAAAGAAATAGAGAGAGAGGGGGGAAGAGAGAGCACAACAACAATGCATGGGGGAAGAGAAGGAGATCTGAGATTTCCTATCATCTCTTGCCTCATCTTTCTTTGTGTTCTAACAGGTGGAGGGTTTCTTGTTGTTTACGTTTTCGTGCCCGATCTTTCGCAGCCATGGCATCCCGTTGCAGCATTGGTGTTGATAGGTTTTCCATGGGTTTTTTGGTTCCTAACATATCTCTACACGTGCATGAAACATTCGTGTTGCGTCAACAACGGCAGCGGCCAAGACCACCAGAGACGAGGCGCCACCCGGTCGATGGCGGCGGCAACCACCACCACCACCGGCGGTGCAGCCACCATGAATTGCACCTCGCGCGGAGGGTCTCCGGTGAACTCTATGGAGCCCCCACGGCGCGTGCAGTTCGGGCCAGTGGTGGTGATGGATGGGAATGGGAATGGGAATGGGAATGGGAATGGGAAGGGGAAGGGGAAGGGTGGTGAAGGAGACCATTCGTCCATTGCCTCGACGGCCGGATCGGAACGGCCGTTAACTTCATCGGTGTCGTCTGGGTAGATATATGTTTTTTTTTGGTTGGTTATGCGATGTGGAGTCCCTTAATGTATTATGGCAACTTTTTTTTTAGTGAACCTAGCCACGAATGGCTACGTATATATGAACCATGCATGATCATGAATGTTATAGAGACAGAAGAATATAATCACAGATGAGACTAGAAATTGGGACATGATTCATTAATTAGCTTTTTTGTGATGTCAAGGATAATGATTTAATCTTTGTAATATATTGTTGTAATTAAGATAAAAACAAGCTAGTTTTCCCATGCAACATTAATTGTTATACATAAATATACACACATGTTACTTAGACACTAAGAGTAATTAATTTTGATTATGCATATGTATATATGATCGTAATAATTTAATTGAAAAGGGAAAAGTACCATGGAAAGCTATAGAGGAATCCAAATTAAATCAATTATATCAGTCAAATTGCTTTTGTTATTATTATTTGTTTTGTTATTATCTATGAATGGTATGCCATTGTTTGCATCATAATCTCATTATTTTAACTATTGCAATCTTCTTTCTTTCTTTCTTTTTTTATTATTTATATATTATAATCGTTACCAATTCTACTTAACACCCAATCTCTATGTTTCATAATCTCACATACTTTACCGATTTATGTCTTTGTCTATATGTACGTGGTTCCCTATTAACAAACCGTAAGGTAAATGAAATTTACCATCTCTTTTTGTTATTATTATTTGTTTTGGAGTTTTTTGAATTGAAATTGATGGAATAGTAGAAAGATTTAGTTCAAAGTTATAGAAAATTAAACTGAAATTTTCCTCAATTCCACCAATTCCGATTCAAAAGCGCTTCAATTCTATGTAGCTAAATATAGCCGTAGTGTATTTATTCAAAATCATTTCCGGGTGAATGATAAATTGTGCCCAATGTGAAAAATGCTGCTCCCGCGTTAGAAAATGGAGGAAAACATTGCTAGTATTCTTAGTTTGACCCTTTGAATTAGGTCATTGGGGCACCTAAGTTTTTCAAGATTGGAAGTACCTAGGCAAGTTTGGGTCCAAACCCACCACCACACGCTGGTCCGGGCTTGGGTTCTAAAAAAGAATTATTTTTTTTATTAAAAAGGAATTCGGTTTGAGACCAGGCCAATTGGTGTGTGTGGGTTTATATGGATTTGGGATACTTTCAATTCCAATTTCAATTCATGTTTGTAGGAATACTTTCAAAAAGCTACCGAGAGATTCATCTGTTCCAAGTATGCATCAAGAAAAAGCATTTTCTTGAATCTGAGTTGTTTTTAACACAAAAATAACACATTCATGGTTGTTAAGCATCATAACCGTAAAATCGAATCAATTCAACAAGACTTTGTAGCGAATAGTCATAATAGACTAGAATTTTGTCTCCTGATTTTATTCAAGTTTATAGGAATGAAACATGCGTTCTATGTTAGTTTTGAGTAGGGGTGGTAAAATGAATCACAACCCATCAACTCGCTCATATTCACCTGTTTTTTTAATGATTTTAGATGAACCATATTTAAAATGGGTCAAAAATGAATTGGGTAATTTTTAACTACTTAATTTGAGGCCTAGTCAAGATGCATGGGTTGAATATGAAATTTCACCCATCACGTAATAAACACACACTACACATCTATTCTATATTACACTCGACTAATTTCTCTCTCTCAAATTCTCTCACTCACTATCCTCTCTCTCTAAATTTGTCTCTCATCAATCGCCTCTATAAATTTCTCTCTCTAGAATTTCTTATCTTTCTTTCACTTCTTTCTTTCTAAAACGAGTCGAGAGATTATTATTATTATTATTTTTGTTATTAAATAAAATTTTAAAACATTCAGAAAAAATAATTAAAAATAATAATTAAAAATGAAAAAGTTAAAAAAATTAAAAAAATTAAATAATTAAAAAATAATAATTAATGAGTCCACGAGTCATAACGAATTGACTATATACATTTTTTATCCGTCCATTTTCAACCCGTTTTGAATGAATAGAATTTGGGTCTTGACCCATATTTAACCCATTCATTTTCAACCCAACCCAAATTTGACCTAACCTGCGCATTTACCGCCCCTAATTTTGAACTATCTAACACAACCCACATTTTTATGAATTAATGAACGTTTGTGTGAGAATAAGACACTAGAAACAACAACAACAAGAAGAAAGCAAAACTATTCAAACGATGTCCTCAGCCGACAGCAGAGTCTAATGAGCATCTCTCCAAGGACTACAAACAACAGCTAACATCCAATAAAGATCAAATGAAGCCCTTCACAACAAGAAGTGAGGTTTTCTGTGTGTGCAGATTTTTGAATAATTGTACTTGGAATCATTAGAACATAGGGATTTTGCTTTCGTAGTATTAACAAACAAAACTTGCACAAATCTCATCCCAAATTTGAATTTAAACTTAATTTTGTTCTCAAAAAAATGTGACCAAATCAAATTTGGATAATTTCAAATATTCAAATGTGTTGGCCTAGCAATAGTCCTTTGAACCCACTATTGCTTAATATCTGGCTTATTTTTGTACTATTTTCCCTTTTTTTTTTAACCATATGATACTGTCATAAAGCATATTTTCATCAATATTTTTTTAACCTTTCATACTTTGCAATAGCTACCATGAAATCCATCCGTACCAATATTTCGACCTGGGGCAAAAGCCAAGCACACAGACACACTTCCACTAGTCCAACAGATTTTGTTCCGAACCCCAGAGTTTTGAAACCGGGGACAATCTTATATCCACACCATCCAACGGTTGGATGGAAAAGTTACAATCTTGAGATTTTTTTTGTCTATACAATTCAGTATGCATCAAGAAAAGACATTTTCTTGAATCAAATTTTTGTCTATACAATTCAGTTGGATGGAGAAGTTACAATGTTAGGAATTTTTATTAGTTTTTTTCGTGAACCATATCTAAAGTTGCATTTTTTCATTTTTAAAAAATAAAAAAAGTTCCTTTTTGGTATTGCAGATGGCCGGAGTCGATCATATTATGAAGAAATTCAGGGCACTTCTTTTTCAAGTAGAAGATCCAGGGTAAGCAACATATCTTATCTTTTTGAAGGATCATATTCAACATCTTTATTTTGCTTCCTACCGAAATTCTGTTCAATGTGATAAGATATGTTTACCGAAAATGGTATAATATTATCAACAACCCCCATTTCATTAATGCACACCTTCAAAGGCAGGATATAAGATTTACAAAGCTATTGTTTCTGCTCAACCTTTTCCTTTGATATAAATATGGATTTTTTTTAATGTTTCTGAATTTATATATGATATATCAGATGCTCTGAAGTTGTCCATGTCTTTCCTATTGACTTTTTTAACCTTTAATTGAACTCTATTAGTAGTAACTACTTATGGTGATTAATCATAATTTTGTATAGAAAAATTGAAGCTAACCCCCAATTTTATTTTTTTATTTTTATTTTTTTTAAATTCTGCTTATGGTTTACTAAAGGTGATTAGCAAAGAAAATTACCTTCAAAATTCAATAGTACTCTATTCATAGTCTATACGCACTTATATATATATATATATATATATATATTATTTGTTATAAATTCAAAGAAAGAAAAAAAATAGTATTGCTCAACACTTGATAATGTAAATTATTTTTTCCTTTATTTTTTATTCACATATCTTTTATAGAATTATATATATAAATATGCTTATTGAAAGCATTCATTAAAATTGCATTGAAAAAAAAAATTGCTACAACTTTTAAGAGTTTATATTTAAATTGGCAAACATCATCATCGTGACAATGTTTGTACTACTCCTTCTCACCCTCCTTCCATCATCTTATGTTTAGCATGAACACCCTTACTATTCAATATATTTTTTAATAAATATTTCCTTAAATAATTTTTTTTCAAACAATCTAAAGTATGTAGATAAATTTGTATCTTCTATAAGGCTCTCTCATGAAGTTGTTGGTTACAAATTACACCTTTACTATTTATAGACAATTATATTTATTCTAAACTTTTGTGATAAAATATCTTCTATAGTCATATAAAATTCCTTCTACTGAGTATTTGTAATCTCTTTAACATAATATTTCAACTCTCTCTACAATGCTCCGCAATCTCTACTCATGTTATGCACACACCATGCAAAATCCAGATCAATAAATACTGAATTTTCGTGATACATATCATGAATGCTGAATTTTTATAACATATATCACAAATATCATATTGTGTATTTTTAAACTTATCAGAGTAATAATGAATTTAAAGAAAGGTTACATCATATTGAATTTCATAAAGTGGAGTCCCTCCATCACAGAATTCAACTCCCATCCAATGGCTTCATTGAAATTGAAGGTATAGATTAAGTAGCTCAATATTTTAAAATTATTCTAAAATGAGGGTAATCCAATTAAATAGGTCTTTCCTTTTAATTTATGTGACCCGTTTGAAAATAGAAAAAAAAAAAAAAAAAAAAGAAGCTAGATTGTTGTGCTAATAAGGGCTAAGTAACAACTTAAATTGATCATTTGATAAAAGAGATTAAATATTGAAATCTCTATGATTGAAGGAGAGCTAAAGCGCTAATGTTGAGTTTAGATGGGAAAAGATATGTAGCTTCAACGAGGAGACAAAAGAAGAGAAGGGATAGCAGAATTACAAGTTTAGCAAGAAACAATATTTCTATCCAAACTAGTAGGGTTGGGGGTTGATGAAGATTGACTACAGAGTCTAATTTTGACTTGAGGTTTTTTTCGATAACAAAGAATCGACCCACTCGTTAGTCATCTTGAATTCTTGGATGGTTTGCATCAAATATGTATAATTATCCGCAAGCCACATGTATCATTCAAATTCAAGTGTTTTATACCCTGTGAAAATTAAAACTAGAATATTCACTTTTAGGATGTGTTGTAAGAGGTTCCTTATCCATTTGGTCACTTTTCACTTAATTTTGGGAACCCTTCGGCACTCAGCTACCGTGAGAGTAAAGAGAA